ACACGCTCAGCACCCCCAGAGTCAGCACCCCCAGGCTCAGCACCCTTAGCAGCACCAGAGTCACCAGTAACCTCGACAGGCTCGACTGCGTCTACCTGGGACACACCTGAAGGGGCAGGACCCTGAGGGGGGAGGGGGTCTACCGGGGGGGGACCTGGGACAAGGAAGAGCGGTGGCGGGGGGAGGGACGGAGTGCGGTAGGGGAAGAGGCGGTAGTAGGGGACCGACTCGTCAAACGTGACGTCCTGGGAGGACAGGACACGGCGAGAGGTGGGGTGGTAGAACTGCCACCCTGGCGCGTCAGGGGGGAAGCCAAGGAAGACGCAAGGAGCAGCACGAGGGGACAGCTTGTCTGCAGACAAGTCGCGGACAAACGCCCGAGATCCCCAGACACGGAACGCAGACGCATCGCCAACCTTCCCCGTCCACAGCAAAGCTGGGGAGGTCTCCGGCATGGAGACCCTGGGGTGAAGGTTGATCTGATGCGCCGCGTACCGAACCGCAAACGAGTCTGAAGACGAAAAGGCGTCAGGAAGGTATTGCGAGCTGGAATTACCGCGGTTAGGGTCATTGATCAGGAAGGTATTGCGAGCTTCGATTGCTATTGTCAGGAGTGCACTGTAACTTTTCATCTTTTACTATTCGTAATACATGGCCAGGCGAGGCCATGCCAAGCTATGCCAAGCCAAGCCAAGTCAATCCAAGCTAAGCCAAGCTATGTATAGCAAAGAATATCCAGGAAAGGCCAAGCCTCCAAAACATGGCAGCTAACAGAAGTTGCACGCAATGCGGCATGTCATTGAAACGGAGAAATATAGGGTAACGATAAGATTTGTTTGCTAGGGCATGGATTGAGACCATGGGATTATATTTACAGATGTATATCCGTCAGAAATTCACAATAAAATTGCCATTATCTAATGGAATCATGTATATTGGTTAGCATACACAAATTATGAGCAAAGCTTGTGTACTTGTATTCATAGCAAGTTGTATTGCATAGTATACTCGCTTCTGTACTCGGAAAACGGAGTGTAGCTGATGCACCCGCAATGTTTTGCTTGGGTTCAGGGCGGGGTCACGAGAGTACGTTTGAATGCGCTTGAAAAAAGCTATGTACGATTTAGAACGGTCTGGGATTGGAAACCTGGTTTTTCAGAGCCGCCGTCATCCATATCCAACACCTTCTGCGAAATCGAGCCGCGAAATTATTGGACATGTGCATTCCAGCCGGGAAGTGATTGCTCGGCTTCCCTGCCGAAAATCGTGAAGAAAACAGTAGAAACCGCCATGCTCAGAGGCCTGTCCACGCTTTCTTACAACCAACATTCCCACCTCACTTCAGTAGCACGACTCAACCCATCTAGTTCACACCTCCTTCGGATCCCGTTTCTTATCATTCCACGTCCGCAGCTAGCAGTATTTATAAAATTATCCCGGTTGATCCCAAGAGCGTTTCGAATGCCATCTGACAGCTGAAGCAAGCGACGCATTAGCAAGATTAGCCTCGTGAATCTGGCGCATATCTGCGCTAGATTCCCCCCTGTTACTTTCTCGATTTGAAGAACCTCACGTTCTCCCCCAGCCAGTCGCAATGGGGAAACCCCCTGGCACCTTCTCCCTGCTGCTCGTTGTCCTCTCCCTCGTCTGCATCTCGCCGCTCCCCATCTCAACAGCCGGTGCACGTATGCGCATTGCGCGCACTCCCCTGGCGTACGAAAAATACCTCCGTCAGCGCCAGCTGACCGACATCGTCGACCGCGGCTCGCACCCATCTCTGCACATGTTCAGTTCCAAAATGTTTTTTTCCGAGCGAGAAAAGCGCGAGAGGAAAACAGGCGCTGACACTTCAAACCCTCCAATCAAATACCGAGGCGGGCCCGTGATGACCGGAAACCCGTCCATCAATGTTTACATTATTTACTACGGCAGCTGGCCGGCGGGTTCAGGGCATAACATAATCGAGAATTTCATCCGATCTCTGAGCGCGGACTCGAAGCGGCAGGGGGGTCCCGCGGATCCCAAGGTGAAGCGCTGGTGGGCGATCAGCGCAGCGTACACGCAGGAAGGGGAGAATGGCGCGAAGAGGAACGTCAGCAAGAAGGTGCGGCGTTGCATGAGATTACCGCACTGTCTAGGTGAACGATGGGATTGTACCGCACGTTCTAAACGGACAAGTGGCCCGAAGGGAGGAGGGATGAAATGAATGAGTTAGGACGTGATTGAAACATGCGTGACTGGATCATGGGTGACTGGATTATGCGTGACTGGATCATGGGTGATCGGATAATGTCAAAGCTACATTTCCTTAGCTCATCGGCGCTTAAGCTCGTTTCCAGCATGATGCAATTCCTCCCTGGTTTTATCTCATTCCAGGTGCGCCTCGCCAGAACTGTCTACGACGACTACTCGGCGGGAACGGATTTTGGCCAAGACACGGTTTGGGAAGGTATGCAGCACGACTGTAACCATTTTGCCTCTTCCAGCATTTCATGTCTCCCCCCTTAGCATAAATAAAGTCGCTGCATGATCTATGCGCCACTGCAAGAGAGTCAGGGTACGAACACATGATCGCCCATGATCGCATGATCATGATCGATGGCGCATGATTGCCCTGTCATTATCAAAACCATTCAAAGCCTCTCCTCTGTCGCAGTTATTTCGAGCAAGATGGGAGATCGGAAGCCATTTCCGTACGACGCGAATGGCATCTACCTGCTTCTTACCAGCAAGGATGTTACCGTTCCGGGTTTCTGCACCGAATCCCTAGGATGGCACACCATGAACTCCTTCGAGTCAAAACCAGTTGTATTGTCGTTCGTGGGACATCCCGGGCAGTGCCCAGCGGAATGGCAGTGAAATCCGTCGCCGAATGGTAACCCTGCCATCGATTTCATGCTTTCCAGCATCGCTCACGAAATCGCGGAAGCAGCAACGGACCCGGATTGTGTGACGGGATGGATGGACGACACAGATGCAGAGAATGCGGACAAGTGCTCTTCAGATTTTGGTAAGACGAAAAAGGGTCAGGACAGCCGAGGCGGAACGTACGAGTACAATCTGGTTGGGTTGAAGAACATGAGATTTCTGATCCAGAGTAACTGGGACAGGCAGAAGAACAGGTGTGTGACGCAGAGGAGGTACCAGTAGGGGGATGTTTACGTGTGATGAAGTGGAAGTTCCATCTCGTACTGAAGTCCCTAAAAGAATAAGCGTTGCTGCACTGCTGTTGCTCCTGAAATAAGCTTCTCTGGATGTATCCTGCATTATGAAGCAACGGCTCTTCTTATCCAACAGCTGCATGTGGTGCATCTTGAACACATCTTTCTCTTCCCTGACATACTCCCCTCCTGACTTTCATCAGACTTCCATCTTACAGGTTCGTTTCTAAGCTTTGTTTACATTTTTCATAAACGTATACTAAACCGTGGTTCCAAACATTTCGTATTTCAATCCCTACCCCTCCCCGCCTACCATCCTGTGCTCTTTGATCAGCCTAGTGTTTGGTATATACGGTAGACTTACTCCCCCACTTCTTTGGCTCATTGAGTTACACCCTCTCAAGTATTTGCCGCACTCACACGGCTTGGCCTCACTGAATTTCAACCTATCAATGTCTAGTGATTGCCTGGTTGATTTTTCAACCACCTGGTTTTCCATTCCTAAGGCCAAAAACACCATAACCACACTTATGTAGCCCCTGTCCCTGAACTAAGGTGCCTCTGCTTCTCTGGTCAAACTTAGCCTGAAGTCGAGGTTTCACTAACGAGGTTTATTCAGAATTTTGAAACCGTGTCGCATGTTGACGTTTACTACGAACATTCTCTGGGCGGGTTCCCGATTGTGAAGTTTGGTCACAGGAAAGCACCAAAGTTTGGTCACAGGAAAGCACCAGAGTTTGGTCACAGGAAAGCACCAGAGTTTGGTCACCACGAGTAGTCGAAGTTCTTACGAAGTGTTGAACGAACATAGGCGAAACTGATTTTTCGGATGGAGCTCGCCATGTTTTCTGTTGCCCCAAACTGATGCTTCGTAATATTTTGACGAAACATCAATTCGAATGTCTCACGTTACAACTGTACTGTGAATGCTGGGCAATCCCAAGGCTCACCTTGGAGTGACGTTGTGGATCCACCCTTAGTGAGTTCCACAACATTTCCGTTGCTGTTCAATTCCGCCTGGTTTCCTGCTTCTACGAATTGAGCTCCTATTTGCTAGTATTACTGATCTTCGCTAACTAGTCTGGTTTCCAGCCCGCAATCGTCTTAATGCGAACGTGATGTCGTTTGTTCTGTGGTCGATTAGACGGCAGAAACACGGACAATCGCGAGGTCCCTGCGGAGAAGCTGAAAGCATTCTCAGCGGCGTTTGAGGCGCCTCAATATCCCCCCGCGGAGATCCGCAAAGCATCCTCAATGACAGGCCCGGACGGAGGGAAGAATGGGGGAGCGAGGAGGCGTTCTGCCATCGACTCGAGCCTCTGCTCGCCGAACCTCGAATCGCCGAGCCTCAAGAAGTCAAGCCTGGTTTCGTCGAGCCTAGGATTGTCGAAGGAATCATCGAAGCAGAAGCAGCGGGAAGCTGGGGCGAAATATAGGGTCGAGCGGCGTGGGACTCTCGACTCGTGGGTGAAGCGACTCAAGCCGTCGACCGCTGACCCCGCGCGTGCAAGCCCGGCTCAGTGCCACGGCGCTCCAACATGCCAGTTCCAACTGCTTAAAACCTCCGAAAATCCTTATTCCAGTCATAAAGACGGTCCCTTTCCTAGTAGCCGAGATCCCAGATCGTGTCCGCTTCAAGCGGCTGAGTGCACGGCCGCGTTGAGACGATGCGTTGATGCGCCGGAGTCGGTGCGTGAGAAATCGTTAGAGTTGACTCAGAAGTCACCCCGACGCTCCGGTGCTCCGATGCATCCAATGCCTGCGAAGTCCCCCTCGTGTGACCTTGGGAGCGAATCGTGTAGAGATGGGAGCGCATGCGACTCGCCGGGTCGCGAGTTGATGAGTTCGGGCTCGGATGATCGCCGCTGCGACGCGCCGCCGTCGGCCACGTGCGAGGAGTCGATTGGAGCGACGGACCGCCTTGTGACGTATAGAAGAATCCGTCGAGTGATGGCTGACGGCGGGTGAGTGATGGCTGACGGCGGGTGAGTGATGGCTGTCGGCGGGTGAGTGAAGGTTGACGACGGGTGAGTGAAGGTTGACGGCAGGTGAGTGATAGCTGACGGCAAGAGTGAAAGAAATGGCGTGTGAGAAGGCGGATGGAATATGTTATTTGGCGGATGGTTGACGATTCACGGCAAGAGCGGAAGGAATACACGGGGCGTCGTTTCCTTGTATCCACTCTTTTTCCTGATTCTTTTATCTCATTCATCCGCATATGTCAACTCCCTTTACAGCCGCAAAATTTCCTTGGACTTGAATGACCAGAACCTGCTTGTACCGCGTCAAACATGATCAGACCGTTTCTCACCTTTATGACGATTGGCTTTCAGAAGCAGGGACGCGATCCGGCATGTGCTAGGCAGCTCCACACCAGGCCGCTCTGTTGGCGATTCACCTGACTTTTCTCCTGAAGCGTGCAACGTTTTCACAACCAAAAAGGCGGTCGCATCAGCAGCCGCAGCAACCATTCCAAGTGGATGTGCCTTGGGGCTGCCTACGAGAACAGCTTCTATCGCGGATATCAAAGTCGTGTCGGCTCCTGCGTTGTCAGCGTCAGAAGAACGTCCACGTGGCACCTCCACATTGGCCTTCTGGTTAAGGCAGGGGAATGGCTCCGGCAAGGAGGAGAGGTCAGGCGGAGCATCGTGTTCGTCGGATGTGCCTCGGGTAGACGATGAATACGAGATCCAACGGCTGAGGAAATCGAAGCTGAAGCGCAAGGCAGGGGCGAGCACAGGGGAAGACGAGCACAGAAGCACTGAGGAGCAGCAGCAGCAGGGGCTGGCGCAGCAGCGGGTGGGGCAGCAGGGTCTGGGGCAGCAGGGGCGAGAGAAAGAGCAAGCATGGCAGGAGGGGCTGGAGCAGGGGCGAGAGCAGGCAGGGCAGTTGGAGCAGAATATCGAGAGGCGTGCTGAGGATGAGCGGCAGGAGGGTGTGCACGAGGGGCGAGAGCAGACGCACTCGCTGCGATTGCAGGAGGAGCTTCCGACAAGTCCGAGAGAGGCCCATACTCTGCTGGAACAGCTGGGTTCGGAGCGGCCGGAGCAGAAACAGCAGCAGCAGCAGCGGCAGCGGAAGCAGGTGCAGGCGTGTTTGGACTTTGGACAGAAGGACCTTCTTCACACCACGTGCCGTGTGTGCGGATTCGTGTTTGCCAAGGGGCTTAAAGCGGATGAAGCAGCACACGACGCACATCACAGACTGTTCTGTGGCACTATCACCATCCAGGTGAGAGGGGGTGCTGTGCGATTGCCTAGACTCTTGATATATGAGACACGTGCTGTGTGTGCGGGTTGGTGTTTGCCAAGGGGATCAAGGCGGATGAGGCAGCACACGACGCACATCACAAGCTCTTCTGTGGCACTGTTACCATCCAGGTGAGAAGGGTGCTGTAGGTTTGTCTGGACCAGGGTCACATCACATGAGACGTGTGCTGTGTGTGCGGGTTGGTGTTCGCCAAGGGGATCAAGGCGGATGAGGCAGCACACGACGCACATCACAAGCTCTTCTGTGGCACTGCTACCATCCAGGTGAGAAGGGTGCTGTAGGTTTGTCTGGACCAGGGTCACATCACATGAGACGTGTGCTGTGTGTGCGGGTTGGTGTTCGCCAAGGGGATCAAAGCGGACGAGGCAGCACACGACGCTCATCACAAGCTTTTCTGTGGCACTGTCACCATCCAGGTGAGAGAAGGCAGGAGCAGGCGTGTTTGGACTTTGGACAGAAGGGCCTGCTGCACTGCACGTGCCAGGTGTGTGGTTTTGTGTTCGCCAAGGGGCTCATGGCGGATGAAGCAGCACATGACGCACATCACAGGCTCTTCTGCGGGACTGTCACTGTCCAGGTGAGGAGTGGGGAGGCGGGGTCCAAGTGCGTGGGGTGTTTGCCAGAAAACTCATGAACGGCAGCACAGGCTGTTCCGCGGCTCCGCATCCAGGCGGAGAGAAGGGCAGGAGATTTGTTGAGTTGAAATCACTTTTGAGAGTTCTCAAAAGTGATTTCAATAGAGAAGGGCAGGAGATTTGTTAAGAAACAAACATACGACCATCTCTGGGATAGCATACGACTTCTTGGTAAGAGGGTGTGGGGTGCGTGTGTGTGTGCATGCATGTGTGGCTGTATGGGACAGCGAGGGACTGCTGCACATACGGTTGGCATAATAATCTATTGTTTCTGTTACCATGTTACCAGATGCGTGTGAAGAGTTACACCGCGCAACGGAGTGATACCCGCTCTTTCTTCTCCTTTCTTGGTGGCACGTGTGTGTGAGTGCAGGGACGGAGGAACGAGGAAATAACATTTTTGTTTCTTTTACCATGTGACCAGATGCGTGTGAAGGCAAATAGGTCCAGCAGAGTAATACCCACTCTTTCCTCCCCTTTCCCGGTGACTCTGCGCACGTGTGTGTGTGTGTGAGTGCAGGGATGGAGGAACGAGCGCGTTGTGCACGCTGTTTCAGAGAGCACTAGGGACGCACGCAACGCATGCTCCACAGGAGCAGGGGCCGCAGAGACCGCAGCAGGCAGAATAGTGCTCATCGCCCACGCAGACTGCACAGCAGTGCAGCTGGCAAAGGTGCGTTACTGTGCGCTTGACAGCGGTGCTTTCTGTGCCCTGCAGTGCACTGTGCTGCGGTGCGGTGCGGTGCGGACTGGTGAGTAACATGTGGATGCCTGGCACCACAGGCACCCTGCTCTGCGATGCTCGCGATGCTGTTGCTGACTGCAACTGAGGCCCTCACTGTTTTTTTCACCTTCTTCCTTTCGACAATTTGACTGCACACCTGAAATGGACGCACATATCTCTACCTCCCCACTTTTTCTGCTAACACATCTCTCATCTCTCCCTCCCCGTATCTGTGCACTCAATCCCCCCCACACCTGTGTTCCTTATCCCATCCAGATGCACGAAATAGCGGCAGTGTTGGAGAGGGCAATGGGTGTGAGTCCCACGTGGCTGCTGCTGGCACTTTTCTCACCTCTTTTGCCTTGCCTCTCTGCGCCCTATCCCCTTCTCGTACCATGCAGATGCAAGAAATAGCGGCGGTATTGGAGAGGGCAATGGGTGTGAGCCCCACGTGGCTGCTGGGCGGCCAATGGAAGGTGAGCATCAGCGGGTGTGTTGAGGGAGGGGAGGGGTGTTTTCTTGCTGTTCACTCTTGAATGAGGCGGCACCAGGCTTCAGGTGGGAAAGGAGAGAGGCATGAGCGTCACACCCACGTGGCTGCTCTGCTGGGCGGCCTGAGGAAGGTGAGGAACCTGCCACCCACGTGGCTGCTCTGCTGGGCGGCCTGAGGAAGGTGAGGAACCTGCCACCCACGTGGCTGCTCTGCTGGGTGGTGTTAAACCTGCCTTCAAACCCTCCCTCCCCACTTCTACACACCGTAACAATCACTCGCCCCACACACTCTCCCCATCCCTCCTCCCACTCTCCCACACACCCTCCCTCGTCCCTCTCTCCCCACACACTCTCCCCATCCCTCGTCCCTCTCCCCACACTATTCCCATCCCTCCTCGCTCTCTCTCCCACAGGCGTATCTATACATTCATGGGAAGCAGCTGGTGGGGTGCCTTGTGGCCGAACCCATTTCCCAGGCGCGCCCAGCACAGGCATGTTCCATCCCACAGCATCCACTAGATCGCACGCCAGCAACAGCAGTGGCGGCAACAGCAACAGCAAGCGCAGCAGAACCAGCAGCAACAACTGCAGCAGCAGCAACAGCAGCAGAGTCAGTGTCAATATCCACAGAAACAACAAAAGCAACACCACAACCACTATCAGCAGCAGCAGCAGAAACGCTGTCAATAGGTTGTCTCGAGCCATGCAACGTCCAACCATGCAGCCCTCGACCGTTTGTTGCTGAAGCAGGCACAGCCACACCTCACAACGTATCCTTATGCAACTCCAAAACACGCTGCACACCACATGTTTCTGCCTCTGAACCTGCAAACGAGCTGAGTGCAAGGGTGTGTGGCTCAAGGGAAGCGCCACAACAACCAGCAGAGCATCACATTCGTGAGGCTCCTCAGGAAGATATTCAAGAAGGCATGCTGTGTGCAGCTTCGAACCAGCCAAGTGCAAGGGTGTGTGCAAGGGTGTGTGGCTCAAGAGAAGCGCCAGAGCAACCAGCAGAGCAGCTGTTTCGTGAGGCTCCTGAAGAGGAGGAGCAAGAGGATGAGATGTGTGCAGCGGTGTGTGGAGTGAGAGCCATCTGGGTGCACCCAGCGCACAGGAGGAGAGGCGTTGCAACTGAGATGATGAAGGCTGTGAGGTGGGTTGCACGCGTGTGTGTGAGTGCATGTGCGTGTATGAGCGCGCGCACGCATGTGCTTGTGATAGTGTGCATGTGTATGCATGTGTATGCATGTGTATGCATGCATGCGTGTCGCTTGCATGTCTGCGTGTGTTCATTCTCTGTACCGTCCATGCAGCATTATTCCTCTCCCTTCTCTCTTCCCATGCATTCATCCCTTCCCCACAAGCAGCTGATCACATTCGCTTTCACCTCGCCCATGTGCTTTCACCTCGCCCATGTGCTTTCACCTCGCCCATGTGCTTTCACCTCGCCCATGTGCTTTCACCTCGCCCATGTGCTTTCACCTCGCCCATGTGCTTTCACCTCGCCCATGTGCTTTCACCTCGCCCATGTGCTTTCACCTCGCCCATGTGCTTTCACCTCGCCCATGTGCTTTCACCTCGCCCATGTGCTTTCACCTCGCCCATGTGCTTTCACCTCGCCCATGTGCTTTCACCTCGCCCATGTGCTTTCACCTCGCCCATGTGCTTTCACCTCGCCCATGTGCTCTCACCTCGCCCATGTGTTCTCACCTCGCCCATGTGCTTTCACCTCGCCCATGTGCTTTCACCTCGCCCATGTGCTCTCACCTCGCCCATGTGCTCTCACCTCGCCCATGTGTTCTCACCTCGCCCATGTGCTCTCACCTCGCCCATGTGCTCTCACCTCGCCCATGTGCTCTCACCTCGCCCATGTGCTTTCACCTCGCCCATGTGCTCTCACCTCGCCCATGCGCTCTCACTTTTCCCATGCTCTCCATCTCACATTCACAATGTTTTTTTTCCTCCTACTACATTCCAACCCTAACCCATTTTCATCACATCCCCTACAGTGCAGCATCTCCTTTGCCCATGCCTGTTCGCTCTCCCCGTCTTCTTCCTCTCACTTTCCCCTCGCACCCACTTGATTCGCCACCTTCCTTCCCCCTCTCCCCACCACCTTTGCCTGGCCATCACTTTATGTATGCCTGCTCACTCCAACCATCTTGCCTGACCATCTTGCCTGACCATCTCTCACTGCTTCCGCCCCCACCCCCTTTCCCCCCTTTCACTGCCCGGCCATCCTGGTTCCACCACAGCATCTCCTTCGGCTATACCTGCTCGCTCTCACCGCTTTGCCTCACCATCTCTCACTGCCGCCTCCCCCACCCCCTTACCCCCCCCTCTCACTGCCATGCCATCACACCCCCCCCACCAAAGCATCTCCTTTGCCTATGCTTGCATGCTCTCCCCATCTTGCCTAACCATCTCTCACTGCGTTCCCTTCCCCCCTCTCACTGCCTGCCATCACATCCCCCCCACCACAGCATCTCCTTCGCCTATGCATGCACGCTCTCACCGACTCAGATCGCATTCTCGCAGCCAACCGAGTCAGGCAGGGCCTTTGCTGCTGCGCTCTGCCGTCCCAAGCCCTTCCTGGTGTACAAATAATGCTTGCTGGTGTTTCACGCGTGATTTCAAGTCAAGACAGAGCAGCGTTGATCAGTAAACAAAGAGGGATCGCCACACAAGTTCCACAAATGGACCTGTCTGCTATTGTTTCATTCTTTGTTTTTTTTTTTATGCTAGTGAAAATCAGAGTGGCTGGCGCCAGGCCCTACGATATCAGGAATTTTCCCCTGAAATTCCTGATTTTCAGGGATTTTTTTGTACCTACACTGATTTTTCAGTGTTGAGAATTTTGTGACACTGATTTTTCAGCCTTTATTTCATAGTTGACACTGATTTTTCAGTCTTTTATCGAAGTGTACACTGAATGCACATTCCGAATCCTTCCTGTCAACCAACATTTTCAGTTTTTTCACGTACGAGAACGTAAGAGATTGACGGTTTAGAGCATCAACTGTTTCAGTGGTTAGTGATTTTCTACCGACGGGTAAGGGTCCGGTTCGAATCCCTCCGCAGTCATGTTTCGTAAATCCTACCCTTGTATACAAGGTTTTCATTTGCTTGAAAATTCAGGCTTTGTTTTTTAGGAACCCTGAAAATTCAGGGTTTTTTTTCTAGGAACACTGAAAATCAGGGTTTTGTTCACAGGGACCCTGATGCATCAACGTCCCTTAAAGTGAATCTGAGGGCCTGGCTGGCGCACAACTATGCTACTGTTACAGCATACATGAGATTTTTTTAGGGCCATGTTTTGGTCCTTATACAGTGAACATTGGAAGCACTATCTATTTACAGTCCCCCTCCCACATGCTGCTGTGTTGTGTTGTGTCATCAGCTGCTCCTTTTCCTGTTACTGCTGTTGTGGCTGCTTCTGCTGATAATTACTGCTGCATTTCCAGTCCAATATGCAGCAGTCTCACCTTCGCCTAGGCCTGCACGCCTATTACCGTACCGTAAGATTGTTTGTGGAGTTGTACTCTGGCAACAGTATCTGCTAAAGTTACTCCTGATCAGGTGCTTCTCCTCCTGCTGCTGTTGCTGCTAGTTTATCCACCACCACTGCTGCTGCTTCTGCTTCAGTTGCTGCAGCTGCTGCAGCTTCTCCCGATTCCACCGATATTGCATTGCTGGCAGGCTTACCAGCTGGCTGATTCTGCCCTTCACCACTGCAAGGTGTGACTAAACTCGGTGTTATTATAGCGGGAACATTTGAATCGAGTAGAGGTGTGAGATTCTCGCCTGCTGAAGCTGAATCGGCTGCAAGCGACACTTCTCCAGTTGCACCTGTAATTGGCGGCTCTGTAGCTGGTGCGTTTGCAGCAGACTCGTTAGTAGCAGCTGCGTTTGTAGCAGCGGAGATCACCGTAGAAGTTACTGTAGATCCGATGGCTGCTGAGGCTAACTTCTTGTTTCTCTGATGTGCCTCCCTGGCATGTGCTGATCTCCCATTGGCTGTGTGCAGACCAGTGCTTCTAATCTGAGCCTCTAGGAGTGTGACACGTGTGTCAATTTCCACCAATCGGCTGCTTCCAAATACCAACCAATAGGTGATCGCGGGATGCAAATCGGATGGCAGAAACGACCGCCAAGGATGTTTGTGGGGAGGACCATCGAGGGGGGGGGGGGGAGTGGGAGGATGGGAGTGGACAGGAGTGGGGAGAAAGAGAGGCAGGGAAGAGAAGAATAGGACGCAAGAGGGGTAGGGAAGAGAAGAGGTTTGGAGAAGAATAGGAGTGGGAGTTGGAGGGAAATGAGAATCAACAAGGTATGAAAGACAAAGGGGAGGATCCATGTCAGGTGACAGAGCGAATGGGGAAGGTTGAAAGGAAGCAGGAGAGGGTGAAAGGGGAAATGCAGAGAAGGTGACACATGCAGTATATATCCATGCACGTGCTGCTGCACACATGCATACGCCACAAGTGCTGCAAGTTATCATGTGCAGTCCACTTCACATGGTAAAAATCAACTGTTCCTCAACAACAGTAACAAGCAAGCACCATGAGGGCCAATGGGTCTGGTCGATTGGTTTAATGAAGCTTTATTAACATGGTATGACGCCTCGTAAAAAAAAAAAAAAAAAAAAAAAAAAAAAAAATGACTGCGGCTCAACAACCCATGACGACTTGCCGGGCGGGGTGCTTCAAGAGAAACCTCAGAGCGATCGAGGTGACTCACAGGTGCAGCGATTGGAGTTTAGATTCGCACGACGCGGCGAAGGCGTTGAGCAGCTTCACTGTTCGGTCAACGAAAACATTCACCTGCCATTGCCCGCGCACATCAGTAACGCACGCGGAACAGAATTCGGTTTCGGTGAGCATTTTACTGTAGGTCCACGCGCGCATAGCGATTTCAATTGTTCACAATCCGAAGAGCAAACGTGGGTGGCCGAGGCAGGAAGTAACTAGAAATCTATGATGACTCATCAGATCAGAGGCCAGCGCGTAACCAGAAGATTGCCTCGCCTGGGAACGACGCAGTCAAGTATAAAGGACTCAAAAGGGTCCTCGAAGCGCGCGGAAGGAAAACAATACAGGAGTGGAATAGATTTGGCAGCAATAGCGACCACAGCGACGGGTTATAAGGCGGTGAGGGAAGGAGGGGCAAGAAGGCTCGGAGAAAAGAAGAACAACGGAGGGTGGAAGAGAAGAGCAACAGGCGTCGCAAACGGCACGCATCGCATCCACGGCGCGCGCCTAGCCTAACCGACTCACAAGAATCACGGTTCGCTGATCTTCGGGAGGCGCCATAGCAGGCAAGGACGGACAGATGAGAATCGGATTACCGAAAAATAAAGCTGATATATAAAGTCTTTGTTACCACTACAACATGGCCGATTGTCAGTTGACAGTCGGAGTTCGAATCTCACTGGCTTTGATATGAACACTCCGATGGAGTGGATAATCCACAACCCGTCTAACTCCGAAGTAATTAGCCCCTGCTTGGCACTAGGCAGGCTAAAGAGGAATGGAGAATATATGAGCCACAACTTTTTAATTGCTTCGTACTATACAAGTTACGGTATTTTGTTGCTAACTGTAAGGAAAATCCCTTTCCTTACTTCGCGTCCCTGCTCAGCGCGTACACCACTGTTCACTATGCGACCCAACCTCAAGGTTCGGTTGGTACCGGTAACCCGCGCTCCGTACCTCCGCCTCGACAGTTCCCAACCTCGGCACCAGGCCCGTCGCGCACCCCAATTTCCCACGTTACCGTTACCACCGTAGTTTCGCTATATATTCTTCGCTCAATCGTTTGCTCATTGTATTCTTGTCTCGATAGTGCAATCCTCGCTCGCTCACTCAATTTCACTCGTAACACTTGGTTATCAGAGCCTACGATCTTCTCTCGGACCGCACTCACACCTTCGCTTCCCCACAATCTCCATTTTTGGGGGGGGGGTAGACGTCTCTCAGCGACCAAGCACCGCCGCTCGTAGTGCTCTCTCGTAAGCACGCACGGCCACGACAGAGGCTCTCGCAGAGCTTGCCCGACACCCCCGCCATGGCAGAACTTAATGTCGCGACACTGACACAGGAGCAACTAGACTGGCTCATGCGCCAACTCGAAGAATCGGCGCTTGAAATCGCCACACTCACTCCGCTCGCCAACAATCGACAGTGAACGCACCAGCACCAACAAATGCACCTGCACACTCGGAGGAGCCGATTGTTATCTCCTCCGGCACACCGACACAGAACGACAGCGTGGGACAGCGCTCAGGCGTAGCCAGTGAGGGCGCCGCTCACTCAATGCCTGGCATGGAGCGAAACAGAGTCACACCAAGCCCACAGGAGCCACGCGAAGCCCGTCGGCACGTGGAATTTGCAGCGACAAGTGGCGAGTACGCCATCACGGCGCCAGTGCCACTCAAGCCGCAGCGCCCGCCTTGTTTCGACCCAAGTCAACGCGGGGGTCCGACGGTTCAGTCGTGGGTCTTCACGATGAAAGTATTCTTCGACGCGAACTACGTCGAGTCGGACGCAGCGAAGATTCGCTACGCTGTTTCGCTGCTGAGGGGCCCTGCCATGGACTGGTGGCGAGTCATCGTGACGTCGCCACGCGCCTACGAGCCACCGTCGCAAGAAGACGGGCTCACGGGCCCAGCCGTCACCTGGAGTTCATTATGCGAGACAGCCCAGTACAGCACGTGGGATGCATGGTGCGCAGGGCTTCGGGCGCGTTTCGAGCCGATCGCGGCTTCGATTTCAGCACGTCAGAAACTGCGCACTTGGCGGCAGCTCGGATCGGTTCAGGACTATATGATTGGATTTCTCGAATTATGCGAACAAGTCGGCTATATGCACGAAGCGGAGCGGGTGGACCGTTACGTCGGAGGGCTAAAGCCGGACATCTCGCACGAAATTATGCTTTGCGGACTCTCGAACTTCAACGAGGTTCTAGCGCTCGCCGAGAAAATCGATATCCTACGACGACCGAGACCGGGGTCCTACTACGGACAACGTCCTCGGGGACCAATCGAGCACGCCACCGTACACGCCGTTGCGACAAATGCAGCTGCCGCACCATTTAAGGGGTGCTGCTTTGCTTGCAATAGGCCGGGCCATCGCAAGAATGAATGCCCAGAGGAGCTGAGGCGCCGCGGAACCGAGCAGGGGCGAGAGTCTCAGAGGCCGGGAAACGCCAGCAGTAAGTAGAAGTTGGGCCAACTACTGACGAGACTGCCTGCTCGCCCAACTTCACCGACCCTCACCGAGTCACAATACCGATTCACGCTATCGATCGGGCTCGGACGAATAAGGAGGGTACAGCGACGGATTGCCCAGTACTGATTCACGGGAAAATACAGGGAGCAGCAGTGAAGATTTTTATAGACGGAGGCGCAAGTCACAGTTTAGTTAACACCTCGACTGCAAGGAAGCTGCAACTGGCACTTAGTCGGTGTTTACCGGAGATCGATGCACGTTTAGTTGACGGAACGCCGCTGGCCATATGGGAAAAAGTGGAGAGAGTAAAAGTCCGCTGTGGGGGAAACTTCGGGTTTACACAGGAAATGCTCGCGACGACATTGGATGGGCACGATATTTTACTGGGCCGCGATTGGCTGCGACGGTATAACCCGCGAATCGACTGGACGACGGGTAGCTGCACTGTGCGAAGTAGCGGTAACTGGGTCGAACTACCTTGCTGGCAGTCGCCTGGGTCTTCAACGGTCCACGTCAACGCCATCAAGATGAAACGGGCTGTCGCCGCTGGAGCTGATGTGTACGCGGTGGATATCGCAATCGTGGACGAAGCAGACAAAATAAGTGATTTTCGGAAACTACTGTCGGCAGTACCATCGGAGCTACAGGAACTGTTGAAACGGTTCCCGGGGATCTTCCCCGATGATCTACCAGAGGGACTGCCACCTCAGCGGGCGCACGATCACCGAATATAACTAGAACCCGGGGCACAACCAACCGTACAGCGACAGTTCAGGCTGACACAGGCCGAGCTCGACGAGTTAAGGAAGCAGCTATGAAGAAACAGGAATGAATGAACTAGGAAGGTGTGGAATACAAATATGAAACCTGTACCCCTTAGTGTCTGCCCCACTACAGCCTACATAGGCTAGGTCATATATGTCCGACACACCCCCATAGGCAAAGTGGGGGAGAACTACGGGTCACAAGACCAGTCAAGCAAAGTAAAGCAAAGCAAGCTCAGGGTGGATCACAACGTCACCACACATTCTGAGCACAGGTTCAAAGGCCACAAGGCCAGTTCACATGCAGGATTATATATAAAAGGTAAACAAGCAGGTACAGGTATATATAGATCACAGTACAAGTAAAGTCAAGAGGTCAGCAAGTGAGGCCAAGTAGGCACAAGACCTAGCAAAGTACAGAAGCGCTGATGTTCACAAGGCTGAAGTGCCTTGGTGAAAATATCAGCAGTGTTGGCCTGAGAGGCCACGTAAGCAAGGCGCAGCTGACCACGCTGCTGCAGCTCACGAGCAAGGAAGTAGCGAAGAGCAATGTGCTTCGTTCTGTGCTCCAGTCTGTGCTCCTGACACAAGGCCAGCATGTTGTCTACGTACAGAACTGGAGGAGAACGAGGCGGCTCTCCCAGGTCAGTCAGGAGGTAGGTGAGCCAGCGTAACTCCTGTGCAGCCATGGCCCCTGCGTAGATCTCAGCCTCATAGCTCGAGCTGAGAACAGAAGACGAGCGGGTAGACCACCACGAAACAGAGCCGGAACCAAGGCTGAAGGTGTAACCCTGTGACGACCGCTGCGTAGCCAGGTCGTCAACCCAAGACGCGTCTGCGTGACCAGTGAGGACCACTGGACTGCGCCCTTAAAACACGAGCCCCATGCCCGACGTACTGCACAAGTAGCGCAACACCCTCTTCGCTGCAGCCATGTGCTCTGGTCGGTGTCTCCCAGGAGCAACATAGCGTGCCAAGATGCTAAGAGGGTATGCCAGGTCAGGTCGAGTGCAGGTCATCAGGTACATGAGGCAGCCAACAAGCTCTGGGTACGGGCCACTCGGCTCTACGGACTCATCCGAAGGCAGAGCTGAGAGCAAGTGGCGAGTAGACAGAGGAGTGGCCTGAGGCGAGGAGTACGTGAAGTCGAAGCGCTGAAGGACCTGCTGCACCATGTGTGACTGAGTCAGGGTAATGGTGCGCCGTGCTCTGTCCCGGGTGATCTGCAAGCCAAGATAGCAGCGCAGTTCACCCAGGTCTATGCACGTGTGTCTCTTCTGTAGCTCCGACTTCACGTGGGCGAGTCCAGCAGTGTCAGCAGTAGCAAAGACCAAGTCGTCGACGTACACGAGGATGTAGAACGGCGGCAGCAAAGTGTCGGTGCGCAGAAACATCGACGGGTCAGCAGTAGAAGGAGCAAACCCAAGAGCCACAAGCGTAGTCCTCAGTGTGTCGTGCCACTCACTGGGCGCCTGGCGGAGACCGTAGACTGGCCGCCGAAGGCTCCACTGGGTACCAGCAGGAAACGACCCAGTGAAGCCAGGTGGGCGGCGCAGCCAGATCTCCTCGTGCAGGCTGCCCTGTAGGAAAGCAGTGCTGAAGTCAAGAGAGTGAAGCTCGTAGTCACGCTTAGCAGCGACGTGCAGCAGAACCCGAAGAGTGGTCATCTTTGGGGTCGGGGAGAAGGTCTGGAAGAAGTCAACTCCCTGCCGCTGACTGAAGCCTCGAGCCACGTAACGCGCCTTGAAGACAGGCGGAGAACCCGGCGGCCGCTTCACCCTGAAAATCCACATGCCACTGACGATGTTCGCCCCAGGCGGGGGACCCTCTATCGCCTCTGCGTAAGAGCGCGGGGTCGGGATGTCTGGTGCATCCGGGTCTCCCTCAGGGGCAAGCAGCGTAGACACTAGATGAGGTAAAGCAGCAGCAAAACACTGGAACTCCTCCTGTCTGTCGTCAAGGACGTCCGTGCTAAGAGCACACTCACCCCCGACGGACGGAGGACAGACAAACACAGACGCAGACTCAGCAACAAGACTAGCGGCGTAGTCTAGACGACAGTGAGCAGCGAAGTCGACAAGCTCAGCAACTACGGCAGACGCAGCAGTGGACTCAAAGGAAGGGTCAGTGACAACAGTGGCCAGGAGACGCGTGACAGTAGGACTGGCAGTACGAAGGAAGTCAGACTCCGGGTCAGGAAGAGCAGGAAGAGAGGACTCTGGAGGAGACGGCAAAGGAACACGCTGCGGAGCAGTGGAAGGACGCAGTGCCATCTGGTGCGTGCCCGGGACCGCAGGAGGACGCTAACGTGGAACATGACGACCAGTGCGAGTAGCACGAACAGGTGACGCAGGATGCGACTCAGGCTCACGACGCTCAGCAAGACCTCCAGTAGGACCAGCGTAGGGAGAAGGAGCAGGCAGTGGGGAGGCCAGCTGTAACTGTGACTTGGACTGGACAGGCGGTGGACACTCTAAGGAAGGAGCAGGACCAAAAGAAGGCGGAAGACCAAGAACCTGCTCAAGGAGCGGAACGAAGTACGGCCGCGGCCGCGTAGCGCCTCCAGAACCAGCAGGGACAGCACCAGCACCCTCAGCGTCAGCTCCAACTCCAGCAGCACCACCAGCACCAGCAGCACCTCCAGCTCCAGTACCTCCAGCAGCTCCAGCTCCAGCAGGACCACCGGAAGACGCAGCAGCTCCGGCTCCAGTACCTCCAGGAGCACCTACTCCAGCAGCACCGCCAGCTCCAGCTGCGCCAGCAGCTCCAGCACCAGTAGCACCACCAGGCCCAGCAGCTCCAGTACCTCCGGTACGAGCACCTCCGGGACCCGTGGCTTCAGCACCCCCAGCAGAAGTAGAACCTCCAGCACCGGCAGCACCACCAGCTCCAGCAGCACGGCTCCAGTGCCGAGCAAACCACTCGCGCAGCTCCTGTGGAGAGGGTAGCTCCCGCCGGGACGAAGCACCCGAAGGACCTCCAGGTCTAGCACCGTCAGGCTCCGCACCCCCACACTCAGCAACCCCAGGCTCATCACCCCCAGACCCAGCACCCCCAGACCCAGCAGACCCAGGCTCCGCACGCTCAGGCTCAGCACCCCCAGACCCGGCACCTGCAGGCTCAGCACCCCTAGCAGTACCAGAGTCAACAGCTACCTCGACAGGCTCGACTGCGTCTACCTGGGACACACCTGAGGGGGCAGGACCCTGAGGGGGGAGGGGGTCTACCGGGGGGGGACCGGGCGCGAGGAAGAGCGACGGGGGGGGGAGGGGGGCAGCGCGGTAGGGGAAGAGACGGTAGTTCGGAACCGACTCATCAAACGTGACGTCCTGGGAGGACAGAACACGACGCGAGGTGGGGTGGTAAAACTGCCAACCAGGCGCGTTAGGGGGGAAGCCAAGGAAGACGCAAGGAACAGCACGGGAGGACAGCTTGTCCGCAGACAAGTCACGGACGAAAGCTCGAGATCCCCAGACACGAAATGCAGACGCATCGCCAACCTTCTCCGTCCACCGCAGAGTAGGGGAGGTCTCCGGCATCGAGACCCGGGGCTGAAGGTTGATCTGATGCGCTGCGTACTGAACCGCGAACGGCCACAGAAAATGGGGAGCAGCCGCATGGATCATGGACGTACGAGCAATGTCCATGACCATGCCAAAGCGGCGCTCAGCAATCCCATTTTGCTGTGGAGAGGCCGGAAGCGTGAACGTCTGGCGGATGCCCTCCGCACGACAGAAGGCTTGCAGAAGGTCGGAGGAAAACTCTCCACCTCTGTCGGAGTGCAAACGAAGAACAGGAAAGTCCGAGCCGAAACTCTCTCTGAGCTGGAGACGGGCAACGCGGATCCAGTCGATCAACACCTCAGTGACCTCACCCTTGCGGCGCAAGGGGAAGACTGTGGTGTAACGCGAGTAGTCGTCAACCACCAGCAGGAAGTAACGCTCGTGACCCTGTCCACTGACGCGGGCTGGGCCCCACACGTCCATGTGGAGAGTCTGCAGCGGAGCCTCTGTCGGAGGAAACTCGGAGGAGTGAGGAGCGGCGCGCTGTCGCCCCTCGACACAGGGAACGCAGGTAGGGGCAGGCCCCGGGGGAAGGGGAGGGAGGGACCGGGGGAGACCAGAGAGAAGGACACGGGAGGCCATGCCTCGGAGACGAGGCAGGGAGGGGTGACCAAGGCGGTGGTGCCAGAGGAGAGTCTGGTGAGACAGGAGACGACACGAGCAGAGGGCAGACTCAGGACCAGACCTGGACGCTGCAGCAAACACCTGACCTGACGCAGCTACCTGGCCAGACGCAGGAACCGGAGGAGACTCGGTAGTCAGTGTGTACAGGCTCGACCCCGGCTGACGGGTAAACGTGGCCAAGTGTCGGCTCGTCCGAGCACACGTGCAGTGGGTCACTCGCTGACTCGCAGGAGTGAACTGGTCAACCCCCCCATCCTGTAGGTCAGCACCACTCAACAAGTTCGTAGAGAACGAGGGGAGGTAAAGACCCGACAGGGAGCCAGAAGGAGCCGCCGGACACGGTAGGACAGTGGAGTAGTGGGCAAGGACAGGACCCCCAGAGGGGTCTGCTAGGGAGACTGCAACCGGCCGACTGAGCGGCGTGAGTATGGTGCGGTCTCAAAAGAAGGAGCGGGAAGCACCCGAGTCGAGGGTGAAGGTGTGCAAAACCTGAGCCGACGCGGTACCTGAGAGAGCAGACTCACCAGCACCTGAAGCAGCAGACTCACAAGCACCTAGAGCAGCGGCCTCAATGCCCGGGTCAGGCGGAACATACAGGTAACAGTCACCCTCAGCACTAGTAGACACAACATACATGGCAGCCAGAATAGCATCATAGTCAAGATCAAAGATAGCTACACCTGACTTGAGCAGATCACCCCAGCGAGGGATCTCAGTGGCGTGAGGGAACTGGATACGCCAGGCGTCCGTCAGGCGGCCAAAGCAGCGCAGGGTGGCGTGCGGCCCGCCGCACGGCTCCCCAGTGCGGTCGCCTGTACGCAGGACGTAGGTACAGGGACCAGCACCCCCAGGCCGCTGGCGTGCAGCGTACCACTCACGAAGTTGCTGGGGCGACGGAGTCTCACGAGAGCGCTGCTGCTGCTGGCGCTGACCACCACCAAAGTCTCCCCGCTGCACAGCTCCACCCCGACCAGCTCCACCTCCACCTCCGTCGCCGCCGCCGCCGCCGCCACCGAAGCCCCCACCCCCGCCACCACTCCCACCCCCACCCCCTCCGCCGCCTCCACCGCCACCACCACCGCCCCCGCCAGCTCCTCCAGCGCCCTTGCCGTTGCGGCGCCTCCCACTAGGAGCAGACGCAGTGCCGACTGACTCGGTGCCAACGAGGTCGACAGCAGCAGCAGAGGCAACAGAGGGCAAAAGGGGGACGGGGGAGCACCCCTCAAAGAAAGGGGCACGAGGGTCACCACGAGAGGCTCCTACAGCGACTATACTCTTCTCAGCTGCAAGGAGGCGCTCCTCGAGGAGGTCAACGGTGAGTGTGGTGGGGCAAACAGAGAGGAAGTGGTCCCTGACCGAGCGAAGGGAGTCAGGGAGCCGGGTGACTAGGTAGTAGAGGGTGATGTACATGGGGGGGGGGTTCTTGGCGCAGAACTCAGCAGGAAGCGCAGCGCGGTAGCTGGTGTCACTAGTGCGGAGGTGTGTAATGAGGTCAGCGACTGTGGGTGCGCCGGCAGGGTCGGGGCCGCAACAGGGCTGCAGGGCAGGGCCGCGGCTCGGCTGCAGGGCCGGGCCGGGTCGGCGGCGACAGCGGCGGCGGCTGTCACACCGGCTGCTGCAGACTCGGCGGCGGCAGCAGTGACGATAGCTGCTGCAGGTCACGCCCCGGCGGCTGCTGCAGATGGGAGGCCGCGACGGAGGGGGGGCAGAGCCACGGAGGCCCGTGCCTGCCGGTGAGGTGGCCGCACGGGGCCGCGACAGCGGGTCGACGCCCAGGGCCGAGGAGGGCCGTGCCGAAGGCAGGGCGGGTCGCAGCCCAGGGCCGAGGACGGGCTGCGACGTGCGACGGGGCGGCGACTTGGCGGGACCGCGACTGGCGACGGGGCGGGGCCGCTATGGGGCCGCGACTGGCGACGGGGCGGGTCCGCTACGGGGCCGCTACTCGCGACGGGGCGGGGCCGCTACGGGCAACGGGGCGGGGCCGCGATGGGGCCGCGGAGGGGCCGATAAGGGGCCGCGAAGGGGCCGCGTAGGGGCCGCGAAGGGGCCGCAAAGGGAGGCCGCGACGGCCCTCAGGAGCAGGGAAGGCCGCTAAGGGGGCTGCGAGAGGGTAGGGCAGGGCAGAGCGCGAAGCGCGCTTCGGGCAGGTTGAAAAAAAAAACATTTAAATGGTGGGCCCTTAGGAAGAAACGGTCCCACTAGGGAACCCGCTCTATACCATGTGAAGAAACAGGAATGAATGAACTAGGAAGGTGTGGAATACAAATATGAAACCTGTACCCCTTAGTGTCTGCCCCACTACAGCCTACATAGGCTAGGTCATATATTTCCGACAGCAGCTAGATTACCTGTTAGAGAATAAATTCATCCGACTGAGCTCGTCCCCATTCGGCGCACCGATCCTGTTCACACCGGAAAAGGACGGAGGATTTCGCATGTGCATCGACTACAGAGCACTGAACAGGGTTACAGTAAAATCGCGATACCCCATCCCCCGCGCCGACGAACTGATAGATCAACTGCGCACAGCACGAGTCTTTTCGAAAATTGATTTACGGGGAGGTTACCATCAGATTAGGGTCGAACCGTCGGACTGTGCCAAGACAGCATTTAGGACTAGGTACGGGTCATTTGAGTACACAGTGATGCCTTTCGGGCTGACCAACGCACCGACGACTTTCCAAATGACCATGAACGAGGCGTTTAGACCACTCTTAGATAAATATGTGATCATCTACCTCGACGACATCCTAGTCTACAGTCGGGATAAGCAGCAGCACTTAGCCGATTTAGAAGCAATATTCACAGTTTTAGACAAACACAGACTACTGACCAAGGGTTCCAAGTGCAAGTTTTTTCAGGATAGGCTAGAGTTTTTAGGGCACGTTATTTCCGAGGCTGGCGTCGAAATCGACCCGAAGAAACTGGACACGGTAAAAGCGTGGCACCCACCCACGAACATCACGGAGCTGCAGAGTTTTTTAGGGTTCGTTAATTACGTGCGCCGGTTCGTCCCCGCCATGGCACGCTTAACTGCCCCACTAACGGATTTACTGCGGAAGGGGGTCACTTTTACGTGGGGGGAGAAAGAGCATGTTGCCTTCTCTACCCTGAAAAATGTTATCTGTTCACTGCCCGTACTGCGCATCGCCGACCCACACCGCCCATTCGAAGTGGTTACCGACGGAAGCGACATCGCCATTGGAGCCGTACTGCTACAGGATTTCGGCAACAGTTTACAGCCCATCGCATACGAATCACGAAAGTTGCATCCGCCCGAGAAAAATTACCCGATACACGATCGCGAAATACTTGCGATCGTGCACACGTTCAAAGTGTGGCGCTGTTACTTGACCGGCGCCGACGTGACAGTACGGACAGACCACAAATCTCTACAGTACCTCCGCGCACAACCCCACCTCAACCCACGACAAATCCGCTAGCTCGACTACCTCGAGTCGAATTTTCACTACACAGTCACATACAAAAAGGGGGCATCGAACATCGCCGACGCATTAACCCGGCCCATAGCCCAAGTCCACGCCATACTACTCGCCCAGACCAGCCCACTGCTGACAGGCCTATTTACCCACGGTTATCAGACTGACCCATTTTTTACAGGCGGAAATTCGCAGCAGTTTGCATCAGCAAGGGGAGTCTATTACGTAAAAGCCGGCACCAATCGCATCTGGGTACCAGGCTACACACTTCTACGGGAATTACTATTACAAGAGGCACACGACAGAGTCACCTCAGGGCATTTCGGAGTAGAGAAAACACAGCAGCAGCTGAAGCGGTACTACTACTGGCCCGAAATGTTGACCGACGTGCAACGACACGTGGCATCGTGTCCCACCTGCCAAGTCATGATATCATCACGGAAGCGACCGGCAGGGCAGTTGCAGCCGATACCACCCCCAGAGCGTGCTTGGCAGCAGGTGACGATGGACTTCGTCACGGGGTTACCGGCCGGTGCAAGTGGGAACGACGCGATCCTGGTTGTCGTCGATCGATTGACGAAAATGGCACACTTCGCAGCCTGCAAAAAATCAATCACAGCCAAAGAAATGGCCCACCTCTTCATCGCAACCATTGTTCGATTACACGGGATACCAGCAGCGATCATCAGCGACCGCGATACAAAATTTACCAGCAATTTCTGGCGGAACCTGTGGCAGCAGTTCGGCACGAGGCTGCAGTTCAGTTCTTCGTACCACCCCGAAACCGACGGACAGACAGAACGGACAAACCAGACCATGGAGCAGTAAATCCGAGCCACGTGCGACGACCCCACCACCTGGGAACAGCAACTACCACTAATCGAATTCGCGTACAACAACTCGCCATCCGCCATGACCCAACAGTCACCATTTTACCTGAACTGGGACAAGACCCTACAGTACCCATGACCCCGAATCCCGACAACCCGGTGCCACGAGCACAACAGTTCGCAGAAGTCCTACAAGAAGCACTGACCAGGGCAGCAGACGCAATTAAAAAAGCCAACGTCATCGCTAAGCACAACACCGACCGCCACCGCAGACCGGTCACTTACCAACCCTACGACTTAGTTCTACTCGACACCCAAAACCTCCGCCTGCCCATAACTCCGAAACTCCGCCCCCGATATTGCGGGCCATTTTGCATCAGCCACATGATCACACCGGTCACCGCCCACCTCCTCCTCCCTGCTCACTGGTACGTCAGCCCGTCCTTCCACGTCAGCCTGCTTCGCCCCTACATTCCATCCACCAGCCAACTGGCCCGAAATCGCCCAGCCAGCATGACACGACCGCCGACAGAACCAGTCATCACGCCCGAGAAGATTCTGAGCCACCGAGTTCGTGACCCACGAGGAGCTCGAAGGGTCGAATTCCTAATCCGCTGGAGAGACCGCACTCCCACCGAGGACAATTGGGTTCCACTGGACAAAATCGGAAACCACCCCGTCCTCAACGAGTACCTGCGCAGCCGAAATTTCCGAGATATACACGCGCTCTCATAAGGGAGGCCTCCTTGAGGGGGGGGGGTAGTGTAAGGAAAATCCCTTTTCCTTACTTCGCGTCCCTGCTCAGCGCGTACACCACTGTTCCCGCCAACAGCACCCCACAATATTCCGTTACCACTCGCGACATTCGCCTCGACCCCATTCCCGCCACTGTTCACAATGCGACCCAACCTCACGGTTCGGTTGGTGACCCGCGCTCCAGACCTCCGCCTCGACAGTTCCCAACCTCGGCACCAGGCCCGTCGCGCACCCCAATTTCCCACGTTACCGTTACCACCGTAGCTTCGCTATATATTCTTCGCTCAATCTTTCGCTCATTGTATTCTTGTCTCGATAGTGCAATCCTCGCTCGCTCACTCAATTGCATTCGTAACACTAACCTACCGTATGAGATATTTTGTTGCTTTTGACCTACGAGGGTCAAAACTATGGAGTATTAACCACTGAAGCCTCCTGGCCACAAGCCCACAATAATTTGCATCCACATACATTTATGCGTTTATAGAAACACGAAAAATGAAGTAATGTTACGAGTGCAATTGAGTGAACGAGCGAGAATTGCACTATCGAAGCAAAAAGTACAATGAGCGAAGGCATGCGCGAAGAATATATAGCGAACTAGAGTGGTAACGGTAACGCGAGGAAATGGGGTGCGCTACGGGCCTAGTGACGAGGTTTGGGATATGTCGAGGCGGAGGTCCGGAGCGCGGGTTACCAACCAAACCGTGAGGTTGGGTCGCATCGTGAACGGTGGTGGGAGTGGTAGTCGAGGCGAGTGTCGTGAGCGGGTAACGTTTCACTGTGTTAGAATCCCAGCCACTAGACCACTGGGATGAAAGGGCTTATTTGTGTAACGGGTCCGTGTGCCCATAACCCCCCAGGCGAACGCGCCTGTAATCCCCCCAAGGATCAATCGGGCATCCACAGTGCATATCTACTGACACACTGTTGGGTGCCGATGGAGGGAATGGTCTTGTTCGCGGTAAGCAGGGGCGCGAAGTAAGGAAAAGGAATTTTCCTTACACTATCCCCCTCCCCAAGGAGTGTCAAATGTTGTAGTCTTAGTGATGTGTGTTATTGGGGGTACAACTGTTAGGGTTAGGTACGTCGTGTCGCACTGTCTGTCATGCCCTACGCAGGCCCTCTAGGCGTTTAGGGTTTCGGCAGTAGTAGTATCCACCTCTACGCTTCCGCTATGGCGACCCCTAGGGTCCTGTGCTTTGACGCTGAGGGTAGGCCGCTCGAGTTCTCGGTCTGGCTCCTGCGTGCGCGCCGCCTCCTAGAGAGCCAGGTTCAGGCACACGAGACTCTGTGGGCGCACGCTTCCGGTGACCTACCTGAGCCAGCTGACCCTGCACCCTTAGTAGCTGACCCCACACCTGCAGACAGTGACCGTTATGCA